CCTCTGCTGCTGCCCAACCTCTGCTACATCCTCAATAAACCCATGTCTGAGAACAGCAATGCTCTTGGCTCTGTGAGCACAACAGTCTCTGTGGAACCCCATGGAGGGGAGGCCCCTTCCCAGGGGGTCCCACCCCTCATCTCAGCAGATGTCACTGCTGGAAACATCCCCTCCAGAAAGGACAGGATTGGGCTGATACCTGTCTTTGAGGAGGTGGGCTGCATGGGGCTGGGAGCAGAACAGGCAAGGGAGGGGCATAGGATCTGTCCAAAAAGGGTTCCCTATGAGGGCTGAGGGGGGAGGGGGGAGCATTGAGTGATACAAATATAGGATGCAGGGCACCGAGTGGCTGTATGTCAGATGGGGAATGGGGAAAAGCTTCTGCCCATGTCCATGAGTGGGGAAGAATGACGTGGTTGTGCTGAGCTGGCATCACCAGGGCAGGCGGTTCCCTTCCCAGTCGAGGAAGGCCCCACAGGTCTCCTGTGAAAGGATGCCCAGCACCTCCAGAATGCCCTGCATGCTGCGCTCCACAGTCATGGGTGCCTGTGGAAGAGGACAAGGAACAGCATCACTGCCACAGCATGTGATGGGCAGGAAGAGCTGCAGGGTCTGACCAGGCTGGAGGGTGCATGGAAGCTGCTGCACCCTTTTGTCCCAACTTGAATGGGGCTGGCTTCCCACAGAGATATTCTTCCTTCTTGCCAGCCCTCTGCTCTCTGTGTGAAGGGACAGGGCTGGCAGCCAGTGTTCCCTGCCAGCCCCAAGCAGCTGCAGAGCCTCCACACACAGAGCTGCAGACCTCAGAGTATTCCCAGGGCTCCAGCTTCACCGAGCAGCAGGGACACAGCACCCATTCCTCATGTTTCCTGCACAGCAACGTACCTGCTCCGTCCCCATGTCCGTCTTCACCCATCCAGGATGGATCGCTGCACACAAGATCCCCTTATCCCTGAGCTCTTCAGCCAGGCACCTGGTCACCATGTTCTGGGCAGCCTGGAAGAGTCAGATAACATGGGCACGGCTCAGGCTGGTGCTCTGAGTGCTCATGCTTGTAGGACCAGGCAAAGGATGCCTGGAGCAGGTCTGTGGGCTCCGTGGGGGATTATCCCCAAATCCCCCCCCTGCCCCCTCACCTTGCTGGCACGGTACGGGTACATAGGGGCCTCCAGCACCCCAAGACACAGCCCGATGGAGCCCACTTTGGAAGACACATTGATGATGGCAGCCCTGCTGCAGCTCAGCCCCTCCGTCCCTGCATCCTTCGCTGCCTTCTCCAAGAGTGGTAGGAATTCCTGGCAGGAAGACACAATTAGAGCTCTGTTAGTACAGATCCTGGGCTTCAACCTTGCCCTGGAAGTCCTCACACCACGATTACAGGTCACAGAGGAGCAGCCCAGGCCCACACACACCTTGGCAACCTGCAGGGGCCCCACCACGTTGACTGCAAACGTGGCGAGCATCTCCTGTGCATCCACGGATTGCAGTGTGGCCTGCGAGCCGACGCCGGCGTTGTTGATGAGCAGGTTCAAGCCCTGGCCCTCCAGATGAGTCTCCACAGTCTGCATGGCTCCACGGATGCTGGGCAAGTCCACCGTGTCTGCAGGGCAAGAAGGAGAACGTGATTGCATTTACTTTATGGAGTTGAGGGGTTATTTTCTAAGTGCTGCCTGGAGAAATGCGATAGCTACACTTGTGGAGACTTTCTCCAAGACCTACAGGGCTGGCTGGCGTATTGGGGAAATATTCATTATATTATTGACTTACATGCTGATCTTTCCTGGTTGATACCCAGTCTGATGGGTCATTTAGAGTGACCTTTTCATTTTTCAACACGCTAAAATTCATCTCCCACCACTTTCCAGGATACAACATGAAACCTTTGCTTGCAGACTTCGATTCCCATCCTTATCTACAGATGCTCCAGCCCCCCTACACTACATAGGAATGGTATGTTTTAAGTCTGTGTTTTCTTGTTTAAGGTTTGCTTGTCAAGATCTGTATCGCATGATGGATGCTTGCCCCACAGAAATGTCCCTCTTTTGTTTAAAAGGAGACATCTGAACAGCTCACAGATCTGAAACGAGCCCGGTTAGACCAACCGTTAACATTGGCAATACATTTTTATGTCACAACTACACCACAAGCCCTTAAGGCCTATGAATATTCACATTTGTGGGTGATGCTGAGGATAAGTCCCAGTGCACACACGCTCTGCAGAGCCCGCTGCAGGGAGAATCTGGGAGCCAGGCCCCTTATTGCAACATTCTGCCCTCACTTGACTTGTGTTCTCAAGCTTGCACAAGACTGAATTAGCAAAGATGGGAAGAGCTGAAGACGACTTGTTCTTCCCTTGAACTGATGAGCACCAGAACGACCCTTTTCTGGGGCATTTTGAAGTAGTCTGGTAGGTTTATGGTGGTGGCAAGCGAGCCTCAAGTCATCTTATAAAGCATTTGAGTGACCTGGGAGCTATGGGGCAGCATAGATTTTTGGAAGATGAGTGTTGCCTTATGAAAGCAGCATCTTTTTTTTCTGACGCCCAGCTTGAGTTTGGAGTTATTTGTGATTTCGGGTTTTGACCTCTGTGCTGAGGCATTTGGACCCCTCGGAGCAAGAGCCTAAGCTTGTTCAGATGCTGCTCAGCTTGGGGCTGCTGCTGGTGGTACTGAAAGCCTTCCCCATGGCGTTGGGGAGCTGACAGGGATGCAGCCATGGGATTCAAGAGGACATTTGGGACATCTCATTGCTTGGAGTTGGACGAGATGACCTGTTAGGGTCTCTTCCAACTCAAGTGATTTCATGATTCTTTGGTCTCATGAAGGATATTTCACAACAAGCTTTCTGATGACTTCTTTTTGGATGATGAACAAACAGAGCTCCAAGCTCCATTACTCCAGGTGTCATTCACTGGCTTGGGTGAATGATTAATATCTGTGTTTGGACTGGCTGAGTCATTGCTCCAAGGGAGAATGGGACCAGGCATGCGTGACAAGCACGTCCCTATTGCTACACCAGCCTAGTTAGCTGAAGGCAACTTCTTCTTTCCACCAAATGGTGCCTACAAAGCAAAATGCACGCCCAGATCCTCAGCTTTCAGATGGAAGAAAACAGGGGATTAGAAAGGGAAAGAAAGAAATGGAGAACGAAAGGATGCAGTGGGCATTTTACAGTTAATTTCTTTCATTTCTGAAACGCGTGTTCCTCTCGTTGGTTTGAAGTAAACCATTCCCTCGCATGGAGGAACACAGCGTGGAGCAGAGCTCCCTGTAGATGAACACCCCAACTTTGGCAATGCAAAGTGCCATCCTCTGCTGCTCTCCCTTTTACCCCCCCTGCCCTTGTGCTCTCCTCTCCTGCTTGTCGCTCCACCTGGCAGACATCCCAGCTCACCAGGCTGAAGCCACATGGCTGCCACCACCAAGGTCTGGCAAAGCCATCCGTAGTTGTGCCCCCAGGTGAGTGGAGGGCACAGGAGGGAGGAGGGCCAGGAGCAGTGCCTTACGAAGAAGGGGGGTTGCACCATACCTAGCTGGATCAGCTTGATGCTGGGGTGCCGGGCTGCTAATTCTTGCAGGGCCTGGAGACAAAGGCATGGAGCAGGGGGTTAGAAGCCACCAGCAGCACTGCTGGTCTTCCCACCCATCCCATCCTTGTTCCCCAGGAGCAGACTGCAGAGGCTTTGCTCTCGCTGGGGAAGCTGTCAGGCGAAGGGGTGCTGCTGGGCTCGGTGCTGTCCCAGCAGGCAGAAGGGGACGGTTGGCTCAGCGTGAGCACCAAGGTCATGGGCACCACACGGGCACAGCCCACCTTCCCCTCACCCTCAGAGCACCCAACCAAGCCTGCTCCCGGCAGACACCCAGGAGGGGCCACGATCCCAGATCCCAAATCCGTACCCTCGCTCCCCTGGCTGGCAGACATCCCCATGCACTGACCTTCCCTCTCAGACCGCTGGCATCACGGCAGGTGGCAAAGATGTGCTGTGGGGGTCGGGGGCTGGCGGCGAGCTGCCTCACCAGCTCCAGCCCAATGCCCCGGTTGGACCCCGTCACCAGAACGCTCCGAGCCAGCGTGGCCATCTCCAAGGGGGTGAGACAGTCACAGTGGTGACAAACAGGCTGCTCCCAGTGGAACTGCCGCCTGCTTGGCGTGAAAGGGAGAAAAGGCACAGCCCAGGGAGTGGCTTTGGGCGCCCATGGGGACAGCGATGGTGCCAGCAGCAGCCCCGGTGCCTTGGCAGCCCTGGGAGCAGGGTGGGCTGCTGCTGTGGGGTGATGGTTCTCCTTGCATTGCCCGCTCCCCAAGACTTGACTTCTTCTCCAAAGCCCCAGATCCCAAGTCCATGCAACCACAGGAGAAGGGTCACATCCATTCAGAGCTTGGAAGCGCGCTTGGAAACACAAACAAGAAGTGGAAGGGACACAAGCAGGCCCTGCTTGTAGCAGTGGGGTTGCAGCAAGTTCATTCTTTATGCCTGCTTTCTCCCAGCAGAGAAGACCCCCAGCTGCCCACAGCCCCATCCACAGCCCTCACCCTTCTCCCCATCCTCCCTCTACCACCCATCATCCAGGGGAGGACAGTGCTGGATGCCTCTGCTAGGCAACAAAGCAAAAGTTCCTGCAGCCCAAGTCAGCCTGGGGACACGGATTTTTTAGGAGGCAGAAGTGAGTAATGTGCTAAAAGAAACAAAGAACCGCCGTGTGAAAAGTGATGAGCTGAAGAACGGGGGCAAAGTGAATTAAAGTGGGAGAGGGAATTTTGGACAGGAACGTACACTGAGGTGAGTCTGCTGCATCTGTATGTGGCCAAATGCACACAACGCTCAGCCTCAACCAGAGGGGACAGAACTGGCTTTTTTCCATTTCATCCATATTTGGACAGCTCTAATTCTGGCACTTATTAAAGAAATACTTGGGCCAGCAGCCGGGAGATGGTGGGGTGGCTGTAAGTCTGGAAGGTTTGCTTTCAGGTGACACAGAGCACAGAGAGGGATGAGCAGCGATGGCTCCTTTTGGTGGGAGGGCTGCGGCCACTGAAATAAGGAGAAATAAACATCTGTGTGGGTTTGGTTGGCATTCGACTCGGAGCAGCCATAAAAGGTGTTACGGAGGGTGTCATCACCCATGCAAGCAATTGCACCGCACAGACTTGTCTGCTCCTGCTGCTGTCTTGCCAAGCAGCAGCTGGAGTAGAGCTGTCATTACGAACCGACAAGACTGGAGTTTCCTCTTTTCCTTCCAGGTTCCTTGGGGACAGCTGACACCAGCAAAAGGCTGAAGGACCAGGAATGGCTGCAGGCCAGCAGAGCCGGGGAAGGCAAGCAGCAGGCGAGCTTTGGAGGTGGCTGATGGCACTGCAGGCATGCTCATCGCTCAGCAATACAAAGCCTGGGGCCAGGCGATCCCTAAAGTGCCCAGAGGAGATGCTGAGGGGAAGAGATGAAACTAATCGAGGTAAGCCCAAAAGATCTGAACGTTGTCCCCTTTGCCCCTTCTTTCCCCCACATTTATTGCTGACCGTGATGCCCTATGATGTGAACAGCCCTCTGCTCAGCTGCGGTCACTTGTCCCCTCCCGGATTCCAGTTCATTGTGGGCAACCCTCTGAGCGTCCCTGACACGTGCGCTGAGTTCGTCTGCTCGGCGACTTGGCTTCATCCTACGGTGATGACTCAGGATGGGAAACGTGCAGCGTGGTGCGGAGTTATTGGGTCACCTCAGGGCAGGTCACTGCTGCGCTGCTTACCGAGAAGCCCATCAATTTGAGCGCCCTTCCGGGTGAACCTGGGCGGCCAAACGCTGCCAAAACCCAACCCCTCCATTCAGCCCGGCGCGGCGCCCTTAAAATGGCGGCTCCCTGCCCGGCTTCACCCAGCCTGCGTCACGTGACCGTCGCGTCCCACCATTGCATCAGCCGGCGCGCGTCCCGCCCTTCGGCCGGGAGACGTCTGGTGGGCGGGGATTCCGCTGAGCGACGGCTCGCGCAGCCAATCGGCGGCCGGCTTTGCGGGCGCTGCGGCGGCGGCCGGGCAGGGTGTGCGGAGCGAGGGGCCGCGGTACCCGGCGAGGTAGGCCGGGGTCGGGCGGGGGAAGCAGCGGAGCCTGCAGGCTGGCGGCCTGCCGGGGCTGAGCAAGGGGAGGGGTGCCTGGAGGCGGCTGAAGGGTGCCGGGCTCGGGCCGGCAATGAAGGCGGCGGGGTGGGAGAGCCTCGCTCTGCGCTCTCCGCTCGGCCCGCCGCGCTGAGCGGCCCCGTCCCGCCCCGCTTTGCACCCGCAGCCTCGGGATGGAGTCCGCGCTGACGGCCAGCCAGATCCGGCAGCGATTCATTGACTTCTTCAAGGAGAACCGGCACACCTACGTGCACTCCTCCTCCACCATCCCTCTGGATGACCCCACGCTGCTGTTCGCTAATGCCGGCATGAACCAGGTAGGATTCCGGCTCCGGTCCGTGCGGCAGCCGAAGCAGTGAAGCCGCTTGCGGAGCCTTTGGCCGTTCCTTCCTAATAAACGACGCAGCTCCTCAGCCGTTTGTGAAACAACGAACGAGCTGCAGGTGTCCCCATCCATTGCAGTGGGGTTGGACTAGATGGCCTCTAACGGCCCTTGAGTTTTCCAGCTCAAACCGTGGTCCTGTGAAGCAGAGTTGAATGCCCATCTTTCCTTAGCTGACTCCTTTCCAGCTGTGCTCGAGTTCACCTTGCAGGCGGTTCAGTTCCCCCTTCACCCATCACTGCCAGCTCCCTGAGCAGAGCTGCTTTCCCATTGCTCTGGTTTCACTGAAACGAGTGAAACCACTCGTTTTGTGTTCGGCTGCTTGCATCCTGAAGTGTCCTCTAACACCAAGGAACTACCAGAGTCTTCTGCTGACTGCGTGGAATATTAGCATCGTGTTCTCCACCTCTGGTCACCAAGAGGTGGCTGCTGCATCTGCAGCAGTGCTATTGCAGAGTTGGCAGGAGAGCTTTCTGTGCTTCCAGGGCTGACGGTGCAGAGATGGGGGCGCTGCCAGCCTGCCCTCCTTGACCCTTTGGACCACAGCTAGCACTGCAAATAGTTGCAGAGAGAATCCTGGCACAAATGACCACCAGCATCTCTAGGGAGCAGTTGGAGCTAGGCTGCTGGAATGGTTTTTCTGGCTGTTTTCAGTTCATTTGGAAGTTCTGGGGTTTGCTGTGCTGCAGGCATGCGTGCTGGGTCCTGCATCCTCCTCACGTGCAGCAGACTGAAGGCTGTCTCTGAGACATCCAGGCCAGCAGTGCCATGATATAGAAGATGCTCAGTGCCTTGCTGTTGCTTTTAACATCTAAAACCAGGCCCTTAGTGCTCCTTAATTCCTCTTTTTTCTTTCCCCTCAGTTCAAACCCATCTTCCTCAACACTATCGACCCCTCGCACCCGCTTGCTAAACTGAGCAGAGCCACCAACACTCAGAAGTGCATCCGAGCTGGGGGCAAGCACAACGACCTGGATGATGTGGGAAAGGATGTCTACCACCACACTTTCTTCGAGATGTTGGGCTCCTGGTCCTTTGGGGATTATTTCAAGGTAAAATAGGCTGATCTGAAACTCTTGCACGAAGTCACATCTCTGTGAGCTCAGCAGAGTGTTTGGCAAGAAGAAGGAGACTGTTTTGGCACAGAGGGGCTCCTAAGGTACACTTGGCTCCTCCAGCTCTGCAGAATATTTTGTGATAAATTACTTAAGGTTTACAGAACTGATTATGTTGTATTAGCACTGGCAGTTTGAAGTCTTCAGGTAGAAGTTTTAGTGGCTGTCCTGGAGCTGCGGTCATAACATAACAATATTCCCAAGCTTCTTGCTTGTGTGAGGTTCATATTACAAAGGGATTATGAAGAATACAGCATTATCAATAGATTTCAAAGGCTTTTTTATTTTTTGCTGAGGATTATAGGCTTTCACTTGATTTCACCTGATCACACCTATATAAGGTGTGCTGTGTGACCTGTTTGCTACATATACTAGTTTTCTTATTTCTTATGCCAAAGGTCTGAAAGCTCTGGATTGTTTCTTAGATAGCTGTCCTGGCCCTGCTGCTGTCAGTTAGGGCTGGTAGTACAGGAGGACCTCAGGAGGGACTTTGTGTGGAAGGTTTCTGCATGTTTGAATGATACTCTGAGTAGATCCTAGTCAGCCAGTGATCCCCCTATAGTAGCCAGTACTCTCACTGAGCAGGTACTGCATGCTGAAGAGAAGGTCTGTTTGCACTCACATAGTCAGCTCCTCTTTCCTTCTGCAGGAACTTGCTTGTAAACTGGCACTGGACCTCCTCACCAAGGAGTTTGGCATCCCTGCAGAAAGACTCTACGTCACTTACTTTGGTGGAAATGAGGCTGCAGGACTGCAGCCTGACCTAGAGTGCAAGCAGATCTGGCTGGATTTGGGGTGAGGGCCTCTAACTGAGAAAGCTTCGTGTTTTGATGAACAGCTGCCAGCTGCCTTTCTTCAGAAAAAGATGTTGTGTGCTGAGGCAGAGCACTTACAACAGGAGGTTTTAAAAAATGGAAGCATCACCAATAATGTTTGCAGGGCGGTAGAGCTGCAAAGCCACAAGGAAGCCCTGATACTAGATAGAAGAGGCTGAGACTCAGGTCAAGCCTTAGAGTTTTCTTTGCAGACCCTCCTTTCTAAGCTTAAGAACATAAGAAGTGCCCTGCTGTGTCAGATCAATGATCTGTCTGTCTGACAGCAGTTAAGATGCTGTTCAGGGAAAGCAGGCAAACCTGGCTGTGATCTGTACACTTTTCTTCTCCTCCCTGCACTTGCAGTCAGTGGATCAAGTATGTTAGCAGGTCATTCATCCCTTCCCCTTAGTCTCTGCTTGGGGATGTGCTCATTCAGCCTCAGTCTGATTCTGTTTTGAGCCTATTAGATTTCTCTAACCCTCAGTTTCCCACTCAGTCTTGTCCTCTCCGGTGCTACTCTTGCTTGTGTTGATGTCAAAGATGCACCTGTGTTCTCAGTGGCAGCCTTGGTGGGGTGTTGTGTCCATCTCTGCCTTCCAGCTGGCACTCCTCAGCGCGGAACCTGGGTGGTAAAGTCTTAAAAGTTAGATTCTTGAATTGTCAGAGGCAGACTGATCCAGAGAACGAGCGGGCAGAGATTTCTCTGTTGAGACTCCCTCACAATTGGGGAACCTCCTGCCTTGCTGTAAGTCTCTTGTTCAGTGGGAGCTTCTTGTTACAGGCTGGCTGAGGGCAGGATTCTGCCTGGCAATATGAAGGATAACTTCTGGGAGATGGGTGACACAGGGCCCTGTGGCCCTTGCAGCGAGATCCACTATGACCGAATTGGGGACAGAGATGCTTCACACCTGGTCAATCAGGATGACCCCAACGTCCTGGAGATCTGGAATTTGGTGTTCATACAGTTCAACAGGTGAGTGAGAGCTGCTCCCCAGTGCAGCAGCTGCTTGGCTGCATTCCCAGTGCTCTAACCCAGGTGCCTCTGCACTGCTTTGCTGTTTGCTGGGGCCTTCTTCCTATACCTGCAAACATCTTCAGCAATTTGGATGCTGTAGCAAGCTGAATTCTGATATTGTCCCACTACCTCCATCCTGACAGCTTGTCTTTCTTTCTGTGTCTGGGCAGGGAAGCTGATGGGAACCTGAAACCTCTTCCCAAGAAAAGTATTGACACTGGGATGGGTTTGGAACGACTGGTTTCTGTGCTGCAGAACAAGATGTCCAACTATGACACCGACCTTTTCCTTCCTTACTTTGAAGCCATCCAGAAGGTACAAACTGGGGAATCTGGGCCTGATCTCACTGCATCCATTGCCTGGATCCCTGGGGAGATGTGCGGGGCGGGTCAGGTTGGAATGGTTGTATCTGCAGGTCTCTGTTTTCCCAGTTACTGCCAGCCCCATGGGTTTTACTTTGCTGAGGGTAGGAGCTCTGGCTGGCCCAGTAATTACTGCCTTGGGGGATATTTCCCAAGGAAAACAAGGGACAGGAGTAGTGCAGCTTTCCCAAGTGTTTCTAGCAAACTGCACCACGTGCAGGCACTGCTTTGTTGTAGCTGTGTTCTTCTCTGGGGTACAGATAGAAACACCCTGAAGCAGGGAAGCTGGGACCCTCTCCCAGCTGGCAGAATTTGGAAGGTTTCTTGGCTGGGCAAGTTATGTCAGGCCAGAGTCTATGAACCAGTGTGCAAAACAGATGTTTTCCCTCTTGATTCTTATTATGATGTGTCCTTCTTCATCCCTCTTCTGTCCTGGGATTTTAGTGGTGGATTAAGCTGCCTTTACCTCCCTCTGCTCCTTGATGTCCTTCAGCCCTGAGAATGCAGGCACTGTGCAGAGCTCTCTGTCTTCCCCCACTCACCTCCCTCCCAGAGGAGTGTGCCATCTCTGTAGGATGAGTTTGGCTTCTGAGATGCTTCCCTGTTGCTCTGCCCTGCTGCTGATCCCTGTGTTCTGCTCCCCACGCAGGGCACGGGTGCCAGGCCATACATGGGGCAGGTTGGTGCTGAGGATGCTGATGGCATAGACATGGCATACCGTGTGCTGGCAGACCACGCACGGACCATCACACTGGCCCTCTCTGATGGTGGCAGACCTGACAACACTGGCAGAGGGTAAGGAGGGAGGCTGCTGCAGGGCTGCTGTGTCCGTTCTGTTCAGTGCGGTGTGTCTCTGGGAGGTCTGAATTCAGTGGGTAACAAAGCATTAGTGCAGTGTATTTGAGTCTTTATGGCAAGGTCCACTTGAAAAACCAGGACACGTGGGTCTGAGCATTCTTGTGACTCCTACAGAGAGGACTGCTGTGGACTGATAGGCATAAAAGCTTGTTTGGTGCAGTACTGCTGTCAGAAGAGCAATGAAATTTGGGCTGAGGGGATGTGCTGTGGGTACGACTGGATTC